TCCTTCTTTTCTTTTGGGGAGAATCAGGTCTGTTGGATATCATGTGGTAGGCAGATGCTTCATTCTGCTGTGACAGAAAGTAGTCCAAGTTATAGCTGCACTGGGGACTAAGGGTTTGGATGGAAGTGCGGGGGTGGAAGGACTCTGCATCAGGCTCCAGGCATGTTCCATATGTCCTTGTTCCCATTAATTCTGACATCCCACCCCCCAAACACAAATTCCACGGTGACCTTGAATCCAGATCAATGGCTTGTCACAAGCTCCAGTCAATTCCTATTACATGGCTCTTGCCTTCCAGGGGAAAACTAACAAATGGGCATTCAGGCCTCAAGGTAGGTACTTGTGGTATTGTCTTCTGTTTGCTCATTTCTGACTCCCAGTGTGTGTGTGTGTGTGTGTGTGTGTGTGTGTGTGTGTGTGTGTGTGTGTGTGTGTGTAATATTTACTTTCTCATAATTTCTTCTTTTCCTTAACACTCACTTCTCCCCCAACCCTCTGCAAATACTAGCTCCCTTCTCTTAGAACATGCCCACATTGAGGCTGGGAAGGTGGTTCAGTGGTAGAGCGCTTGCCTTGCATGCCTGAGGCCCTGGGTTCGATTCCTCAGCACCACATAAGCAAAAAAAGAAAAAAGCCGGAGGTGGCGCTGTGGCTCAAGTGGTAGAGCGCTAGCCTTGAGCTGAAGAGCTAAGGGACAGCGCCCAGGCCCAGAATTCAGGCCCCACAACCGGACCCCCCCCAAAAAAAAAAAAAAAAACATGCCCACATTGAAGAATCAGAGGTTAGAAGAAGAAAGGCTGGAAAGGGGCTAGCAAGAATTCAAAGGAGAGGCTGGGAAGGTGGCTCAGTGGTAGAGTGCTTGCCTGGCATGCATGAGGCCCTGGGTTTAATTCCTCTGCACCACATAAGCAGAAAAAGCCAGAAGTGGCGCTATGGCTCAAGTGGTAGAGTGTTAGCCTTGAGCTGAAGAACTGAGGGACAGCAACCAGAGTCTGGGCCCCACGACCAACCAAAAATAAATAAATAAGAAATTCAAAGGACTTTAGTGTTTGAGGCGCTAGGGGAACAGAGACATAATGGGAATATTGGTGTGGCAAGACACAACTCTCTTACAAAGAGACTTTGGACGCATAACTAGGCAGAAACATCACAATGGCCTCTGATGGCTTCTTGTGTGCTATCCCAAATAGGACAAACTCTGCTTAGTCACGAGATCTAGGTAAGGCATCAGGAACAGAGGCAAGAGGGGCTGGATGGGTACAATGGAGTGATGTGATGAAAGCAGACAGAATAGGCAGAGAGGATCAGGAATGCTGGTCTCTGGAGGGGGCCAACCTGTCAATATTAGAGCTAGTCTGGCACTGACAAGCCCTGCGGTAAGAGGCCAATGTCAAGGATCAAGGCAGAAGGGATGGGCATTCTGTGAGCCCAAACGAACAGAAGCAAGATGAGAAATGGAAGTGTTTAGTGAGAGATGTGGTAGAGCGTAGGGGGCATGCAGGTAATGGAGTGGGAAAAAAATGGGAAAAACGATCCTAGGGGCAGAAACATCCTTATGGGGACCACTTATTAGACATTATGTGTAACTCTCTGCTAAGCATTTCATTATTTTTTGGTAGTACTTGTGTCTGAACTCAGGACCTTACTCTTGCTAAGTTGCTTTATATAATTACCATAGCAACTCAATAAATTAGGTATTGTCTCCATTTTATACATAAAGAACGGTAATCCAGAAATTTAAAATAATTTGCACAAAGCCACACAGCCAACAAATGAGGATTGAAGCCCACATTTATCCAGTTTTGATGCCTATTCTCCTAACTCCAGGTATCTGTAAATGAGCAGCAGAAGACAGCCTACGAGACAGATAAGAGGGTAGATGAAAGAAGTAAAGGTAAGATGGGAAATAGAACAGGAGAAATCTCAGATTTGTGGCCAAATCTAGGCCACATGTTTGTGGTTTTGTTTCCTATAGAACTCACATGAAGCCTGGTGCTGGTGGCTCATGCCTGTAATCCTAGCTACTCAGAAGGCTGAGATTTGAGGTTCACTGTTCAAAGCCAGCTTGGGCAGGAAAGTCTGAGACCTTTTTTTTTTTTTTTTGGTCCGGTCGTGGGGCCTGAACTCTGGGCCTGGGCACTGTCCCTCAGCTTTTCAGCTCAAGGTTAGCGCTCTACCACTTGAGCCACAGTGACACTTCTGGCTTTTTTCTTTTTTTGCTTATGTGGTGCTGAGGAATTGAACCCAGGGCCTCATGCATGCAAGGCTAGTGCTCTACCACTGAGCCACCTTCCCAGCCCAAGTCTAAGACTCTTATTTCCAATTAACCACCAGAAATCCAGAAGTGTCACTGTGGCTTAAGTGGTAGAACACTAGTCTTGAGCTGAAAAGCTGAGGGACAGTGCCCAGGCCCAGAGTTCAAGCCCTGAGCCCCATGACCGACAAAACAAAAAACAAAAATAAATAAAAACAAAAAGACCCACATATCTTTTTATTTCTTATTTTATTTATTTTTTGTTGTTGTTGATCCTGAGACTTGAATTCTGGGCCTGGGTGCTATCCCTGAGCTCTCCTATTGCTTACAGCTAGCACTCTACCACTTGAGCCATGGTACCACTTCAGGCTTTTACTGTGGTTTAATTGGAGATGAGTCTCAGATACTTTCCTCCCCAGGCTTGCTTCAAACCACGATCCTTGGATCTCAGCCTCCTGAGTAGCAAGAATTATAGGCCTGAGCCAACAGTGCATGGCGATACCTGTCATTTCTATTCAAGGCCTGCCTCCCCCACCAGCCTGTGAGATCCATGTCTTCTTTGGCTAAAGACTCACAAGTAGTTACTAATGATGAAGACTTAAGAAGTAGAGGTGATAGGATTTGGTGGATACATGGATGGATGAGGGCCAAAGAAGGGCTGAGCATAGGACAAAAAAATGACATTTGAATTCAGGGTTTGTGGGGGACAGTTCACAAGATGGGACCTGGGTCACAGAGAAATTGTGTGAAGTGGAAAATGAAGATATACCTATATTGTGTGCCAAGCACTGGGCTTATTTTTCTCTCTCCATTGACATTATTTTATTTAGCCCTGAAAATGATCCTAGGAGATAGATTTAATTATTTTCAGAAGAGAAACTGAGGCTTAGATAAATCACTTACACATGATACAAGATCAAAAGATACAAAGCCAGAATGTGAACCCAAACCTGCCTCCAAAACCTATATTCTTGGGCCTGGGAAGGTGGCTCAGTGGTAGAGTGCTTGCCTTGCTGGCATGAGGCCCTGGGTTTGATTCCTTAGCACCACATAAGCAGAAAAAGCCAGAAGTGACACTATGGCTCAAGTGGTAGAGCACTAGCCTTGAGCAGAAGAGCTCAGAGATAGCACCCAGGCCCAGAGTTCAAGAACTATGACCCACCAAATGAAAACCCCAAACAAAACAAAACAAAACACCTATATTCTTCTCTTTATACCATTACCTCTCTGTGCTCTGCTCAGTGGGGTAGGTAGGGACAAGAAGGCCTAACATCTAAGACATGAGAAATGGAGACAGACTTGAGAGAGAAGAGGGAGCAAAGAGTATGAGTTTTGCAGTGGAGATATAGACACATGAAATTGAAAGGAAGAAAAAAATATTTGGCAACAATGAGTGACCAGTGAAGATGACCACAGTGAGGTAAATATTAAGTCAAAAGAATATATAATGGTGATCACATGAGACAGCAGTACTGTGTTTTCCCTCCAAGTACTATGTTCAGGGTGATATGGTGGGATGGTAGCCTGGTGGTACTCCAGCTTTGGCATTTGGAGTTAAATAATTGTTCTGGTGTAATGGTGAAAGAACAGTGGTTTGGGGAGAACAGTGGAAGTGGTCACATTAAGATAAATTATAAACTGATTTGTTGAATCGATATCCCTTTGTACAACTAAAAATAATAAAAACAAATTAATATTTGAAGTTAAGATGTGTTCTTACAGCTGGAACTGGCTTCAAAATGCTGTGTGTCTCTCTGGTTTCAGATACCATAAGGTGAATCATTACAAACAGATTCTCTGCAGCCTGTAGGTACCAAGAGTCAATCAGTACTTTTCAATACTTCAAATGCCTTTAAATGGATGTGCTCTTTCCACACACTACTCCCAAATTCCACTAATTATTATTTTTTTCTTTTTTTTGTCACGGGGCTTGAACTCTGGGCCTGGGTGCTGTCCCTCAGCTCTTCAGCTCAAGGCTAGTGCTTACCACTTGAGCCATGGTGCCACTTCCAGTTTTCTGGTGGCTTTATTGGAGATCAGAGTCTCGCAGACTTTCCTGCCTGGGCTGGCTTTGAACCACAATCCTCAGATCTCAGCCTCCTGAGTAGCTAGGATTATAGGCATGAGCCACCAGCACCTGGCTTAATTATTTTCTTAATACTTGCTACAGGACCTGCTTGATGCATTGAGGTATTTGAGATTAGAATCTTCTCATTTTTGCAGAAGTGAGAATTCAGGCCCAGAGAAAAGAGGATTCTTCAAGAGTTCACAATAACTGAACTATGGCTCAAAGCCTCAAATACAGGCTACTGGACAGGAAAGCATCATAGTGCTTTATTCATAGATAAACAGCCACTTTCAGAGCTATTTTTCCAATTACAGACAAAAGAGCAATGAGATGTGAGAGGTGCTGCAAAAAATCCAGGAAGTTAAGATTATGGTAATTAGGAACAAATCAAGATTTAGTGCTGAGAAAGGGAGCCACATGGTCTAAGTTTGAACCCTTTAAGAACTTGCTTTATTTGTTAAATCAGCATGTTCAACTTGCATTTCCAACCCCACCCCACATCAACGCTGCATATCCCATACTGACCACAAGGAGTCACTATTGTTTCTACCAGGTTTTCATAGATGGTTTTTTTCCAAATATCAGATGAAAATGGAAGCACTGTCTTAAATTCTAGGTCCAAGTTTTTTGCGAAGTTCAAGGCAGCAGAGGTTCAAAGGATAAGTTAGGCATGATGAGAGTGGAACAACAGTGATTTAGAAGCCATCAGAGTCTCTCCACGTAAAAAGCTTTGCCCATCTGATTTAGTTCCCGCTGGTACTGATGATGCTCTTTTTCAAACAGTTGGTGCAGGGCAGCTTGACGGACCTGGGGAAGAAGGAAGAAAAATATATTGGCCTCTGCTTAACACTTTTTTTTTTTTATCATTCTTTGTTCTGGTTGCTTTACAATCCATTGTATACTCTTGATTTAACTGTGTCATAAAGCTAAGGGGTAGCAGAGAGACTAAATTAGTGTTAATACAAGAACTAAAGAGGTAAAGCCAGAATGTGAACCTATACCTGACTCAAAGCCTACCCTCTTTATACAATTACCTCTCTGTGCTCTTCTCGTGGTGGGATGGGTAGGGACAAAAGAAGCCTTGATTGCTAGAATGTGAAAAATAGGGGATTCAGTAATATATTGAAGAATGGAGGCAGATTTGAGGGAAGGAGGAAGCTGATTTAATTTCTTCTCCATGGGTGCAACCCCATGTTCATCAAATATTGGCTAAGAAAATACCATGGACTAGGAAATCTACTAGATACATGGGTTACAAAGATAGTGACATGACTCTAATTGAAAGCCCAGAGAGAGACAGATGTACTAAGAAGCTGTTTAGAATCTCACTAAGATGAAAGGAACACAGAGTCTAATGCCCTTTGGAACTTGAAAATATGTCACCTGCAAATTGGATGCTTTGGTGTTTGCAGTTGAAGTATTGTCCGGTGTAATGATAAAGAACTTCAGAGGCAAATGAGATGGGGGAGTCATGACAGACTAAGAGAGTGAAATTCCAGTTGGTGCCCTCCTAGAACTTACCAGCAGTAGCTGTTTGTTGGCTAGTACTAATTCCTGTGCCATGGCATTCTTCATCCTCAGGGTGGCATAAAAGTTTCTCCTTTGATTCAATGTCATTTGCCACAAACAGTTTGTATGTAAAATTTTCCACCTGCCACAGTATAGAGGTGGGGAGTGGTTAATGAGAGGAATGGAGAAAAAAAAATCAGTGAAGTTGTTTCATTACCAGAACTCCTGCCACTGTCAAAAGATTGCAAATTCTCTTTAATTTTTAAAAATTTTTTTGGCCAGGCCTAGGGCTTGAACTCAGGGCCTGAGTTCTTTCACTCAACACCACTTGAGCTACAGTGCCACTTTGGCTTTTTCTGTGTGTGTAGTCCTGAGGAATCTACCCCAGGGATTCATGTATGCTAGGCACATACCACTAGGCCACATACCCAGTCCAATTTTTTTTTTTTGGTTGGACATGGGGCTTGAACTCTGGGCTTGGGGGCTGTTCCTGCACTCTTCAGCTCAAGGCCAAGCACTCTACCGCTTGAGCCACAGCATCACTTCTGGTTTTGTAGTGGTTTATTGGAGATAAGTGTCTCATGGACTTTCCTACCAGGCTGGCTTTGAACCATGATCCTTAGATCTCAGCCTCCTGAGTAGCTAGGAATACAGGCCTGAGCCACCGGTGTCCGGCTAAATTTTTTTTTTTTTTTTTTTTTTTTAAAGCCAGGTGCTGTTGGCTCACGCCTATAATCCTAGCTACTCAGAAGGCTGAGATCTGAGGATAGTGGTTTGAAGCCAGATTGGGCAGGAAAGTCTGGAGTTTCACAGATTTTCCTGCCCCAGCTGATTTGAACCCTGATCCTCAGATCTTTGCCTCTTGAGTAGCTAGGATTACAGATATGAGAAACTAGCACTGAGCATAGCCCTTTTAAGGATAACTAAAATGGATATAAAATCTATTATGTAAGCTGGGTGCCAGTGGCTCACACCTGTAATCCTAGCTACTCAGGAGGCTGAGATCTGATGATCTTGGTTCGAAGCCAGCCTGAGCAAGAAAGTCAATAAGACTCTCCTATCCAATTAACCACCAAAAAGCTGGACATGGGCGTGTGTCTCAAGTGGTAGAGCAAAAAAGCTCAGGGAAGCATACAGGCCCTGAGTTCAAGTCACATAACCTGCATGAGAAAAAAAATCTAGTATTTAAAAATTGTGCCAATTACTGGCATTGATGAAAACAAACTAAGCAATTCAAGAGCACTGATAAGAGGGAGGGAATGAAAGGGAAAGAAGGAGCAGCTAACACTAAGCAAAAGGAAAGAAATGTACATACTGCCTGATGTGGAAGAAATAATTGTATTGTCAAAGCTCATAGAATTCACAAACTATATAGACCACGATAATGACAACTTGCCTCATGAAGGTTAGAATGTGTTTGTGACTTTAAGTATCACTATCTCACAAAACTGTGAAATTTGCAAAATTTATGTAATCAATCACAATAAAAATTATAAAATAAATAAAAATTCTGCCATTTAAAGCCAGGTGCTGGTGGCTCACATCTGTAATTCTAGCTACTCAGGAGGCTGAAATCTGAGGATCACGGTTCAAAGCCAGCCCAGGCAGGAAAGTCTGTGAGACTTATCTCCAATTAACCACCAGAAAATGGGAAGTGCTACTGTGGATCAAGTGGAAGAATGCTGGCCTTGAGCTGAAGAGCTTAGGGACAGCATCCAGGCCCAGAGTTTAAGGCCCACCACTGATCAAAAAAAAAAAAAAAAAAAAAAAAAAAATTGTGCCATTTAATCATTTCCTACATGCTAGATACCAATTTTTATATACTTCAGATAAGCAAACTAAAAATTGTGAGTTACCTGTGGTCTAAGACCATTGTCTCTAACCTTTTCTTTGAACAAATTTTTCAACAAAAGCTTTACCCCTAGTCTTGCTCAATAAAATAAGCAGTTTCTTATTCCATCGGCTTTATTATTCTTAGTTTTTTTTAAGCTCAGACTTGTGGGTAAAATTCAGCAATAGATTGTCTAGCATGCAAGAAGATAGTTTTTTTTTTTTTGGGGGGGGGGTTCGGTCATAGGGCCTGAACTCTGGGCTTGGGCGCTGTCCCTCAGCTCTTCAGCTCAAGGCTAGTGCTCTACCATTCGAGCCACAGCGCCACTTCTGGCTTTTTTCTTTTTGCTTATGTGATGCTGAGGAATCGAACCCAGGGCCTCATGCATGCAAGGGAAGCACTCTACCACTGAGCCACCTTCCCAGCCCCAGGAAGACAGGTTTTAATACCCAATACCATATAAATAAAGCTCATCAGTTGAAAAATAGCAGTTTGGGTTTTTTTGTTTGTTTGTTTTAACTCAGGGCCTGGACACTGTCCCAGAGCTGCTGCTTTTCTTCTTCTTCTTCTTCCTTCTTTCTGGCTTCATGCATACTAGGCAAGCTCTCTCCCACTAAGCTACATCCCCAGCCCCAGTTTGGGGCTTGAACTCAGCGCCTGGGCACTGTCCCTGAGCTTCTTTTGCTCAAGGCTAGCACTCTACCACTTGAGCCACAGTGACACATCTGGCTTTCTCTGTTCATGTGGTGCTGAGGAATCAAACCCAGGGCTTCATGCTTGCTAGGAAAGCACTCTACCACTGAGCCACATTCCCAGCCCCCCCCTTTTTTTTAAAGTCTTATTTAACAAATACTACCTTCCACACAATTCAAACTTGACTAGGCAAGAAATACCTGAACTTTCCTCTTAAAAAAGTAATTATAGGGCTGGGAAGGTGGCTCAGTGATAGAGCGCTTGCCTTGCATGCCTGAGGCCCTGAGTTCGATTCCTCATCATCACATAAGCAAAAAGAAAAAAAAAGCCGGAAGTGTTGCTGTGGCTCAAGTGGTAGAGCGCTAGCCTTGAGCTGAAGAGCTGAGGGACAGTGCCCAGGCCCAGAGTTCAGGCCCACGACCGGACTACCCCCCCCCAAAAAAAAAGTAATTATATTCAATGTACATAATGTAAAAAATTGAACTGTGTAACTTAAGGATATGGATGGGAAATGGGAGAATGATAAAAGGGATGACATTGATCAAGATTATGGAATTGAAACCTCTTTGTTCAGCTATTTAATATTTTTTTTTTTTGGTTGGTTGTGGGGCTTGAACTCTGGGCCTGGGCGCTGTCCCTCAGCTCTTCAGCTCAAGGCGAGCGCTCTACCATTTGAGCTACAGCACCACTTCCGGTTTTCTGGTGGTTTATTGGAGATAGGAGTCTCACGGTCTTTCCTGCCAGGGCTGGCTTTGAACTGCGATCCTTAGATCTCAGCCTCCTGAGTAGCTAGGATTACAGGCGTGAGCCACCAGCGCCCGGCTTTTAATATTTTTTTTTAAGGTCAAAAGAGAAAACCAAGCAACAGGAGTTGGGAAGGTGGCTCAATGGTAGAATACTAGCCTTGCATGCATGAGAGCCTGAATTGGATTCCTCAGCACCACATAAGCAGAAAAAGCCGGAAGTGGTGTTGTGGCTTGAGTGGTAGAACACTAGCCTTGTGCTGAAGAGCTGAGGGACAGCGCCCAGGCCCAGAGTTCATGTCCCATGACCAACAACAAAAAAGAAAAAAAGAAAAAAAAAAAAAAGAAGAAAGAAAAGAAAGAAAGAAAGAAAGAAAAAAAAAAAGAAATCCAAGCAACAAAAATCTGTACCTTCTGCTAGTGGATCATACCTTTTTTTTTTTTTTGTTGGTCATGGGGCTTGAACTCTGTGCCTGGGTGCTGTCCCTCTGCTCTTCAACTCAAGGCCAGCGCTCTACCACTTGAGCCACAGCACCACTTCCAGTTTTCTGGTGGTTTATTGGAGATAGGAGTCTCAAGGTCTTTCCTGCCTGGGCTGGCTTTGAACCTCCATCTTCAGACCTCAGCCTCCTGAGTAGCTAGGATACAGGTGTGAGCCACCAGCGCCCGGCTCTGGGTCATACCTTTAATCCTAGGTATTCAAGAGGCTGAAACATGAGGATCATGGCTAAAAGCCAGCCCAGGAGAAAAGTCAAAGATATATTCTATCTCCAGTTAAACAGCAAAAAAAGCTAATCTGAAGGTTGTGGCTTAAGGAGTAAGGTAAAGTAAGCCAAGTGAGAGTAAGCCCTGAGTTCAAGTTCCAGTACCAGGCACACACACATACCACCACTATTACCAAAAAATACCCAACATTGTCCCTTATCTCCAGAGAATGGGAAACAGGGGCAGTAAAAACCATACTAGGTGGGCACCAATGGCTTATACCTGTATCCTACTCAGAGGCTGGGATTGGAGCATCATGGTTTGAAGCCAGCCTGGGCAGCAAATCTGTGACTCTGATATCCAGTTAACCCCGAGAAAACCAGAAGTGGAGCTGTGGCTCAAAGTGATAGAGCACTAGCCTTGAGTGAAAAAAACAGTGCCCAGGGCCTGAGTTTGAGCACCCATGACTGACCCCCCCCCAAAAAAAAAACCCCAAAACCAGCCTGGGAAGGTGGCTTAGTGGTAGAGTGCTTGCTTTGCAGGCATGAGGCTTTGAGTTGGATTCCTCACTACCACATAAGCAGAAAAAGCCAGAAGTGGTGCTGCGGCTCAAATGGTAGAATGCTAGCCTTGAGCTGAAGAACTTGGCGCCCAGGCCGAGTTCAGGACCCAAGATTGAGAAAAACAAGCGTACAAACAAACCCCAAAACCAAAAAAACCCAAAATTAACAGCAACAACAAAACCCATAAACATTCTCTATATAGTGTAACCTACTAGCAGGGTGGTAGCTGCTTGCTTTTATTTTGGTCAGTAGTGGGGCTTGAGAGGTGTCCCTGCGTTTTTCAGCTCACTGAGAGCGTTATACTGCTTGAGCCACAGCACCACTTCTGGTTTTCTAGTGGTTTATTGGAGATGAGTCTCACAGACTTTCCTGCCTGGGCTGGCTTTGAACTGTGATCCTCACATCTCAGCCTCCTGAGTAGGTAGGATTACAGGTGTGCCCAACTTATCTGCTTGCTTTGATATCTCTGCCTCCTCTTCCCATATTTTTTCTTGTAGAGCTTCCCAAAAGATGCAGAAGGGGGTTGGGAAGGTGGCTCAGTGGTAGAGCGCTTGCCTTGCATGCATGAGGCCCTGGGTTTGATTCCTCAGCATCACATAAGCAAAAAGAAAAAAAGCCGGAAGTGGTGCTGTGGCTCAAATGGTAGAGCGCTGGCCTTGAGCTGAAGAGCTGAGTTCAGGCCCACGACCAGGCCCCCTCCTCCCCCCCCCAAAAAAAAAAGATGCAGAAGAGCTGAGAGATGCTCAGGGAAATGATAGGTCAAATTGAAGGGTAAAGGGAAGAAATAGAAGCAGAGATTACCTTTCAACCATCTTCTCAAGTCTCATAGCCCTTTGAAGCCTCTGCAAGAAAAAACTTTTGTCAATCTGCCTTAATATCCAGCACTTGTCTCCATTAGTACTCTTCTAGCAGAGACTCATAGATCTTTTTGAAAGAGTAGTCACCTTCCTAGTTGAGATGGGAAGTAAGCTCTACTATTTTCAGGATGGCTCAAGGAAAACTTGCAGGAGTTAGAACACACTTAAAAACCTACTATGTGAGCCGGGCGCTGGTGGCTCACGCCTGTAATCCTAGCTACTCAGGAGGCTGAGATCTGAGGATCGCGGTTCAAAGCCAGCCCGGGCAGGAGAGACCGTGAGACTCCTATCTCCAATAAACCACCAGAAAACCGGAAGTGGCGCTGTAGCTCAAGTGGTAGAGTGCTCGCCTTGAGCTGAAGAGCTGAGGGACAGCGCCCAGGCCCAGAGTTCAAGCCCCACGACCAACAAAAACAAAAAAAAAAAAACCTACTATGTGCTAGACATAGTCTCTTACTCCTGTTGCTACCCTAGTTTTACATCAAGGGCCTTTTCTAGTAAATGGTTGTGATCTGGAAACATCAAAGGAAATGCCTTCAACCCATTCCCTCCCTTCAACTTTGCATACCTCTTCTAGTTTTGCCATCTTTTCCACAGACATGTCTATAGACATGCTTGCAAGTCTGAGGACACTGGGCAAGCCCTCTGTTTAGTTTAGTCTCTAAGGTTTCAGTAGTCATAGCAACATTTAGGCCTCTAACAATGACCCTGGACCTAGGAGTTGATTGGTCACCTGGCCAGTTGCCCTGGATACCTGAAGGGAATTCTGGCTCCCCAGCCTTCTATTAGTGTCACAGGCAAATCTATAAGCAAGGAGGGAGGCGGTTAATATTTCAGAATTTCTTCTGTTGTGGTTTCAAAAAGCATTTATATGGTCCTAGGTCCAGGGAGCACACACAATCCAAATAATTCTCTGGAGGCAAAGCTTTATGCTACATATCATGTTAGGAAAATGCAGAAAACATACACCTGTTTTACTAAAAATAGTACTGTAAATAACTCACATGTCTTATTTTTAATAGTTTATTTTATTAAATAATTTATGAAGTCAGACCAGTAACTGGTTTATTAGGAAAAACCACTTCTTCACAGTCTCATATGTTGACAAAAGACGATGCCAGATGTGTGGACCTTCTCCTCCATTCAGTTTATTCACAAGAGTAATGAATGAAGCTGGAAGAGCAGATCCTTGCATGTGAGAAAAATTGTACTGTTTCAACTGACTTACCACCTCCACTATTACTCCTCCTACTCCCAGTTTTTTTCCTCCTAGTTCTTTCTTGCCTTTCCACCAGTTAACTCTGAGGCACCCTAACCCAAACAGTTAAAGCCACTCATTTGAGAACAGTAAGGTAGACATAGAAGACATCTCTCAACCTCCCACCTTTGGGATTAAATAGACTGCAACAATGAAGGTAAACTGTGGCTAAAAATAATGAAAAAAAATTTTTTGGTTGGTTGTGGGGCTTGAACTTTGGGCCTAGGCACTGTCCCTGAGCTCTTCAGCTCAAGTCTAGTGCTTAAGCAACAGCGCCACTTTAATGAAAGATTTTTAAGGAAGCTTTGATATAAATAAATAGTAAAGACTTCTGAATTCAAACCCAGCAAAGTGCTACTAGGAAAAGTCTTAGTGTTCTGAAAATGCCCATATGAAAGGGTTGGGGAATGATTCTTCAGGCACAAGCTCTAAGAATTCTGGACATAATGGAGACATTAGCTGATGGGGTTTGGGCCTGCTGAGCCTGATGTCCTGAGGGCTTCCCAGCAAGCATCTTTCTGGCTTTATCTGTGCCATGGTCCTTCAGCTCAATCACAGTGTACTCTCCAATGTATTATAGTTGTCCTTAAAGCTCTTCAATTCAAGGAAGTGCTTGGCACGTTTACTCTTCTGACTGGAGGGGAGATATGTGACTTGGATTGTTGTTGGGGAGACTTCAGGGGACTGAGTTAGGTCTTTGGCTGCTGACTGGTGTTGTCGTTGAGAGCTCCCAATTCGTGCTTTCACCCTAAAGAAAACAAAGAGGGGAGGTCATGGACAGAATAAGGACTCTGGAAGAACATAATTCAGGGCTTATCCTCTCCCATAAATGTAGTCTCTAACCTATCTTAAAAACAAATTACTATAAAAAAAATTACTATAAACCTGCCTGTCAGCTTAGAAGTAGCAGAAAAACTATTTGTCTTTCTTTCTGGCATAAGCTTTGCTTCATCACACTATGCTTAAAGTTTTTGTTTTTTGGGGCTGGGAAGGTGGCTCAGTGGTAGAGCGCTTGCCTTGCATGCATGAGGCCCTGGGTTCGATTCCTCAGCACCACATAAACAAGAAGAAAAAAGCCGGAAGTGGTGCTGTGGCTCAAGTGGTAGAGCACTAGCCTTGAGCTGAAGAGCTGAGGGACAGCGCCCAGGCCCAGAGTTCAGGCCCCACGACCGGACCAAAAAAAAAAAAAAAGTTTTTGTTTTTTGGTCCTTTTTTTAACTTAGGGCTTGGATGCTGTCCCTGAGCTTTTTCGCTCAAGGTTAGCACTCTACCACTTTGAGCCAAAGTGCCACTTCTGGTTTTCTGGTGGATAAGAGTCTCATGGTCTTTCTTGCCTAGGCTGGCTTTGACCTGTGATCCTTAGGTCTCAGTCTCCTGAGTAGTTAGGATTGTAGGCATGAGCTACCAGCACTCAGCATAAAGAAAAGTTTTAACTCTACTTATTCACCTAATATGTATATGCAACTAACATACGTTTAGTTCAAAGAGTTCCCCCAAAACAAGAATAGAAATAGCTATCTCCTACACGTTAGAGCATTATACTCTAATTTACTAACATAACCAATATCATATAGGAAACTGAGGACCCAATAATTAACTTTTTTTTTTTGGATGGAATATGGAGAGCCTGCTTTTCTTTTTCAGTTCAGGTTTTCTGTGGGTACACACACAAAATGGAAGATCATCTCTATACTATTCATGAATACCAGCAATTTCTTTTTTTCACTAGATTGAGTCTGCGTGTCTTCTCTTATTACTATCCATGATCATTTTTTTTTTATTGTAAAGATACTATACAGAGGGTTACAGTTGCATGAGTGAGGTAATGAGTACACTTCCTCTTGAACATTGTTAGCCTCTCCATTGTTTTCCCCCTACCATCCCCTCCCTCCCTCCCTTCCCCGAGGTTCTTTTTTTTTTTTTTTGATTGTGATTAAGTGATTACATAATTTCCGGAAATTCACAGTCCAATAATTAATTTTTATGAAGTCACGAAGCTTGTAAATTATAGATCAGGGAATCAAACTGTTTGTCAGATTTCAAAGCTAATATTCTCTTCAGTATATCCATTGAATCTGGAGATCAGAGACAAAAATTTGAAAGAGCTAGGGGCTGGGAAGGTGGCTCAGTGGTAGAGCACTCGCCTTGTATGCTTGAGGCCCTGGGTTCGATTCCTCACCACTACATAAGCAAAAAGAAAAAAGCCGGAAGTGGTGCTGTGGCTCAAGTGGTAGAGCACTAGCCTTGAGCTGAAGAGCTGAGGGACAGTGCCCAGGTCCAGAGTTCAGGCCCCACGACTAGACCCAACAAAAAATTTGGAAGAGCTAATAAAATAAATATAAAATTTATCTTAATTTTGTGTGTTTGTGGGCACGCACGTGAGCAGATTCTGGGGCTTATACTCAGTGCTTGGGCATTGTCCCTGAGCTTTTTTTTTCCCCTCCCTTAAAAGATAGTGCTCTATTACTTGAGCACCAGCAGATTCTGGGGCTTACACTCAGTGCTTGGGCATTGTCCCTGAGCTTTTTTTTCCCCTCCCTTAAAGATAGTGCTCTATTACTTGAGCACCAGTTTCAAGTCCAGTATTTTGGGTAGATAATTGGAGGTAAGAGTCTCATGGAATTTCCTGTTTGGGTTGGTTTTGAACCAGATCTCAGCTTCCTGAGTAGCTAGGATTACACGCATGAACCAGCTTATCTTAACCATTTTAAAATGTATACTGCAAAAGTGGTAAATTAATCCAGTTGTGGAAGCAACTAAAATGCTTTTCATCTTGTAGAACAATATCTATGCTCATTCAGAAACTCTTGTTGTTGTTGTTATTCTTTTTTGGTCAGTCGTGGGGCTTGAACTCTGGGCTTGAGCGCTGTCCCTGTGCTCTCCAGCGCTCTACCACTTGAGCCACAGTGCCACTTCCTGTTTTCTAGTGGTTTATTGGAGATAAGAGTCTCACCGAGGGCTGGGAAGGTGGCTCAGTAGTAGAGCGCTTGCCTCACATGCCTGAGGCCCTGGGTTCGATTCCTCAGCACCACATAAGCAAAAGGAAAAAAGCTGGAAGGGGCGCTATGGCTCAAGTGGTAGGGCACTAGCCTTGAGCTGAAGAGCTGAGGGACAGCGCCCAGGCCCAGAGTTCAGGCCCCACGACTGGACCCAAAAAAAAAAAAAAAAAAAAAAGTTTCACCGACTTTCTTGCCCAGGCTGGCTTTGAACTACGATCCTCAGATCTCAGCCTCCTGAGTAGCTAGGATTACAGGTGAGAACCACCGGGCTCATTTAGCAACTTTTTTTTTTTTTGGTCAGTTGTGGGGCCTGAACTCTGGGCCTGGGCACTGTCCCTGAGCTCTTCGGCTCTACCACTTGAGCTACAGCACCACTTCTGGCTTTTCCTGCTTATGTGGTGCTGAGGAATTGAACCCAGGGCCTCATGCATGCAAGGCAAGCACTCTACCACTGAGCCACCTTCCCAGCCCCTCCAGCAACTCTTAATTCTCCTTCTTTACTGAGTTTGACTACCTACAGCTATAAAAGTAGAACCAGCATTTATCTTTCAAAGGTTATTTGTTAGCAGAGTGCTAGAGGCTCATGCCTTTAATCCTAGATATTTAGGAGGCTAAAATTTGAGGATCAAGGTTCAAAGCCAGCCTGGGGCAGGAAAGTCCATGAGACTCTTATCTCCAATTAACCACCAGAAAACCAGAGTTGGTGCTGGAGCTCAAGTAGGAGAGTGCATGCCTGGAGCTGAAGAGCTCAGGGACAGCGCCCAGGCCCAGAGGTCAAGCCCCAGAACCAAAAAAAAAAAAAAAAGGTTATTTGTTTTCTGGCTAGAGATCAGGGCCTTGTGCTCTCACATAGCTTTCACTCAGGGCTGTCACTCTACCACTGGAGCTCTTGGATGACATTTTGCAAATTAACACAAGATATAATCTCAGACTTTTCTGTTTTGGTAAGCCTGGAACCAAGATCCTCAGATCTCAGCCTCCTGAGTAGCTAGGATTAAAGTATAAGCCACTGGTGCCCAATCTTTCAATGGTCTTTTTTTAAAAAAAAATGTTTATTATGAAAATACCATACAGAGGAGTTATAATTACATGGGCAAGATAATGAGCACATTTCTTATCAAGTATCCTTGCTTTCTCCTTCGTTTCCCCTTTCTATCCCTTCCCATATCCTGCCCCTTTCAATGGTCTTGAACAGGCTTCTTGCCTAAATTATAATCCAAATGTTCTTTTCTACCTTCTCTTCCACAGGTCACTTATATTACTTCTCTAAGCAAAGGTTGTTTTTTGATTTTGTTTTTGCTGGTCCTGGTCCTTGAACTCTGGGCCTGGGCAATGTCCCTAAGC